TCTGGAGGCAGGAACTGAAGCAGAAGCTGTGGAGGAACACTGCTTACGGGTGCTTGGTCCCAGTTGCTTGCTTTGTTTGTTTTCTTATACCATAGGGACCACCAGTGGCCTGGCAGTGGCCATTGTCAGCTGGGCCCTCTCACATCAGCCATTAGTGAAGAAAATACCCCCAGGCCAGTATGGTGGGGATGTTTTTAAATTGAGATTCCCTCTTCTCAAATAACTGGTTTGTATACAATCTACATAACATTAACCAGGGCAAGTGGCTTTAAATGTTCTATGATGTGAAAACATTTCTATGAAGATTTCTGTATCTAAGATGTTTCAGAACATAACAATGGTGTAATTTGATTTTTTTTACTTCCTGTTCTGCAAATCTGATTCACATTCAGTGGGAGCCTGTGTTAGTGACTTTCCTTATTGCCATGATCAAATACTTGACAAATGCAACTTAAAGAAGGAAGGGTTTATTTGGGATTATAGTTCTAGGGAAATCCTTCACCAAAGAGGGAAGGCACGGTGACAGGAGTGTGAAGAAGCTGGTTGAACTATAACCACAGTCAGGAAGCAAAGAGAGATGAATGCTCAGCTGGCATCGTTTACCCTATTTTATTTAGACCGAGACTCCAATCCATGGGATGGTTCCAACATTCTGAGTGGATCTCCTCCATCAAGTCTCCCTGGAATCACCCTCTGACAATAAGTGCCATGAGACTCTTTCAGGAGGCGGAGCAGGTATGATGGCCTCTGGCCCCAGTCAGCTGCACTATCTGTCTCATGGTTACTGTACATCAAATGATCTTTATGTTCTGTGATTTCCCTGACTGTAGCTGGATGTAGTTCAGGCACACTCAAGCTATGCTCAGCTGTGCTGCTTGGTAGGCTATGTGCATTAACTGTGGTTTATTGGCACATACTCCATCCTCCATTCGAAGTTAAGGAGTAGCTAAATTTCTTCCTGGGGCACATGTTTCCAGTTCTCTTGGAAAGTTATTGTTGCATGTCTAATACATATGTGACTAACTTCATAGGAAACTTCCAGACCCTTCTCTAGAGGGTGGAATAAGGCAATGACTTTGTGTATAATTTTAGAATCACTTGCTGAATTCAATTATTAAGAATATCAATAGTCATTAACTCCTCAAAAATTTCACTTTCAAGTTATATAATTGTCTTTGAAACATTTGAGTGAATTTCTAAGTGGGTTTAAAGGGTGAGTCATTGATCTTTTATTAATTAATATTTTTGCTTATGAATGTTTAGTTTCTTTTTCCTATCGAATTTTGTTTGAAACACCATCCTTAATTTGGAAGTTTCTTGTTGCCATTGCAATTATCTAGTGGTCATATTCACTTAGTTTTATTTCAGAGTTGTCCTTTTGTCCTTTGACTACAAACACTAACTACTGTAGATATTTAGAAATCTTGAAGTCAAACAATGTGTGTCATACAACTTTATTCCATCTTAAAGTTAGTTTTTGGACATTTGAGGTTCTCTGTATATTAGCGTTTTTTAGTTCAGGTGATTGATATCTAAGAAAAATAGTTTATCAGTCTTTCATTTTGACCTATACTATACATTTCCTATGACCTCTGCTTTGCTGTGTCTTATATATTTTTATATGTAGTGTTTTCATTTTTATTCACATTTCTGTTTATTTGTGGCAACCTGGGTTGGCAGAGGGACTTCTGGGAGAATGGGAAGGAGGAGTTGGGGTGGTTGAGATCAAGATACATTATATGCACACACAAAATTGTCAAAGAATAAGATAAAGAGGTTCAAAAAAAAAACAAAATAAAATCTCTTCCTTGCTATCGTTTTGCCATTTTTTAAGTAGAATAATAATCATAAACTTTTTATTATTATATTATTTTCTTTTGTTGGGTCAGTTGAATATAACTGCTATCTAAGCTGTCTCCAGCTTTATTGAGGGCTCAGGGTGCACATCTTTAATTTATCACAGTTTGCCTGACAGGACTATAATATCACTGCACATTGGGTCAAGAATTCCTATTTGAAAGTTGGAAGTACCTGGGTAACTGAGTAAGGAAGGCAAGGCAAGTAGACCACTTAGGTAGGGTATGGGCTCTTCCCAGGATATATGGTAAGTCCATGGTCTGAAATCCCACTGGTCACCCTTCCCAGCTCAGAGTATGGGTCTTATTGGGGCTGGACCCTGCTTGCTTTGTCCTACTCTGGTCCTAGATCTCACTGCAATGGGAACCATCCCCTACTGCCCATGCTGGGTGTCTCCTTGCTGGTGGGCTTCCTGCAAAGTAAGGGCCTGGCAGCTGGCAGAGGCTGGTACCTGTGACCAGATATTCTGATTGCCACAGATTCTTGTGCTTTGGGGAGATGAGAGCCATGGAAGGATCTGACTCTTTCGGAGTTGAGCTTTGTGTCACTAATA